TTTACGCGTCACTATGTTACCATGTAATATCTGATCAGTTTTCCCTAATTTTGCAAGCCGAAGCTGTTTCCTGTCCTGAACACTCATTGTTTGATTTATCAATAATCACATACTGGTTACACAAAATAAACACAGTGCATCCTGCCTGCACATGCCACATGTTGTTAAATCGACACAGAAACAGACAGTGCCACAAAGTAACCTTACTGACAGGTGTGTGTGTATTATAAAACCAGATCTAGATAGATATAAATGTCTAGATAGATACATGTACAAACTATACATACACACACACACACACACATACATATATATTTTTTATATATATACAGCGAATTATGCAGGCAATAGAAACACAACCCCTCCTTCGTAGGGCTGAATCAGAGAACGTGTTCCAGGAATTTTGTAATTCACAGGAATTTAAGAGTACAGTATGTTAGGGAGGAGAGATCACTGCATGTTGCAACACGGGCAATGAGATAGAGGGGGTGGAGAGGAAAGCAGATGAGGTGGCTATTATTTTCCAAAGAAGAGACTGCTGTGGTCTCATACGCATATGCAATTTACTAGATTCCTGTGTTATTGCACAAAAAATGCAACACATCATAAGAAGTTTAAGGAGCACTATGACTGTGCATACTTCTCATGAACAGTGGGGGGTAGGGAGGGGGAACTGAAGGGACTTTCTGTGATGGAGGAGTAAGGGGAGGAACTTTTAAGGAGACAACAGCTAAAGTGAAATGAAGAGGTAGTTTAAAAATTGAGGGGGCAAGGGATGGATTAACATCTTCACTACTGAGTTAATTCTATTTTTTTTTTTTTTAAAGTATCATATTTATTTGAAACATGAGATGCATTGCTAGCAAACCCAAAAACTTAGAATAAAAGTATTATTTATTTTAGAGATCTCTGTTCGTGGCCTCTCAAAAAAATAAACTTTAGGCAATTACCACAGCTTTCATTTTTCATTGTGTAAATTTATTCCTTACAGAAACAAGGGAGGTGAGATAAAAAATGGTTTACTTCATCATGCAATAATTCATATGGTGTCTGAAATATTCGTATAGAAGCAGAAATGCCAGTTTTAACACTTGTACTAATTCTGACAAAAATACATATATAAAAACGTTTATATACTCTGATTATAGGTATTTATAAGAAAGGGAGTATCAAGCAGCCATCAAAGGAAAAGAGAGAAGGTTTCATTTATAGGAAAAACTGCAAAAATACAGAACAGAATGAAACTGAAAGATAAATGTGTATCCCTGACATGATAGGTCTAAATTTGGCGTTTAGATCCTTGAACCCACCTTACCTCTTTTAAAAGGTGATTTACCCACCTCTTTTCCAGCGCTGCACGCTACGCTGCTCCCACTTCGCCTACTTGGCTGAAATCATAAAATTTGATGATTTTACCAGAAAAAAAGCATTGGGAGGGTATTTTGCATGCATGGCAAAATGCTGCGCTGCGCCAATCAGCATCTCCACATAGAGGAGACGCTGAACGTCTGTGCTAAACATTGATCCAGTAAGCACCTCTGGTGGCCGTCTGAGTGGAGACCACCAGAGGTGTAGCGAGCCAGCAATGTAAACACTGCCTTTTCTCTGAAAAGGCAGTGTTTACATTAAAAAGCCTGCAAGGACAGGCAGCAGGAACGAGAATAAGTACATTAAGTTGTTGTTCTGGTGACTATAGTGTCCATTAGGATTCCGTTCAGATGGTCCTGAAGCTACTGACTTCCAAAGTTTCAGCCATTCAGCAAACATGTATTCCTGCCACATTAGTGTTAAGCTACCTATTTAGGTGACCAGCCCCCCTAGGATCGCATGGGAAAAATGTTTTTACCCACCTTTTTTTCTGACGCTGGTCTTGTCTCCATCTAATCCAATGCTTTACCATAGTAAAGTATTGGGAGGTTATTATGCATGCATGGGAATATAGTGAGCTGCGCGAATCAGCATGTCCTCATGGAGATGTATGGAATCAATCTATCTTTATGGTAAACATTCAAATCCTCCATGTAGAGTGTGGAGAGCATGGACTAGGTAGCACCTCTGGTGGCCTACTGAATGACTGCCATCAGACGTGCTAATAAGCAGAAATGTTAACACTGCCTTTTCTCTGAAAAAGTAGTGTTTACATTGAAAAGCCAGCAGGGTGAGGCTGTAGACACCAGAATTACTACATGAAGCTGTAGTGGTTCTGATGACTATAGTGTCCTTTTAAAGGGACAGTTTAGACACCATACTTCATATGATGTCCCTTGGGAGCACACCTCTCGAATGATTTAACCCTAAAGTTGCCTCAAGCGCCAATCTT